CTAATTTATTTTGCATCGGCGGTTTGGTTTTGCTTTTTAGGAAATACTTTCAATTGCCATCGTTTTACCGTTAACTTCACCTCAAACACCCTCAAGAATTTCCTAAATGTTTGCTTCCATTATCCAACATTTAATCATTACGCTTAGCTAATGTTTAATAACTTCACATTTACTACAGAATTTACTTAATTATATGTAGACATTAATTAATTTGTAAATCTATAATAAAAACTCTCTTCGAAAGTAAAACAAATTCAATTACAACCTACATGTATGTTTATGCATTACAAGAACAACTACACGCACAAAATACAAGACTCGATTATTAGAAGAATATTTCGATTTTTAGAGCCATGGTGCTTCTTCGTTTCAACATTTTTGATCTACTAATAGAGTCCTCTAAGAGAGTTACATTGCTTTGCATACAAAATGAATTTGTATGTATGTATGCATGTATATATTCTATATATATATACATATACATATATTCACAATGTTGATATACATTTATTTTAGCAGACTGTTTTTGATAATGACTTTAAATATGATTAAATATTTAATTAAATTTTAATTGTAATTAACTTTAAGATTACGTTACATACAATAACTCTGCGATTGTCAGTTTCAAATTTCAAAATTTCAAATATATTCTCACTTGTCATTTACTCGCACATGCATTTTTGTTGTGCTCACTATGTTTTTGTTTACATTGCATGGTTGCATTTTAGCACTTCGGTAGTGAGTTCGGTATACTACATACGGCGATGTGGGATACACATTGCAATTCGGCGTCGGTCACTTGGTGACCATATACATATAATATTTGGGTAATTGGGTTGTAGGGCTGGTTTCCTCAAGGTATTGGGTAGTCGCTACTGGATTGGGGGTCTAAATTCAGGATTTTTGCTCAATCGACGATTGTTGTTGTTGCTGGTGGTGGTGACTTTGATTCGCGCTTAGCTGTTGGCTTTGCGCAGACGCAACTGTATTGTTACTCCTGGTGTTCGCTTCAGCGGATAATTGTTGTTGATGTTGCTGTTGTTGTTGTTGTTGTTGCTGCTGCTGCTGCTGCTCCTGCACGCGATGTGTCTTCATGTGTGCGCTTCTACTCTTCACTTTATTAAAAACTCTGCGAGTACAAGGTGAAATGTCAAAAAGAAAAGAGAAATGCAAAAACGCCGTTAGGTTTTATGATCACACCTAATCAATGCAAAAAGCATACATAATATAGCAACTATACACAGAGAGGCAAAATCGAAATATCGGATACAAGTACTTGGGCATCACAGAGCTGAGATATGGCTACAAAAGCAAGGTTGTCAAGAGATGAGGACGCACAAACTAGATACTAGGTATGTAAGCAAATACAAAAGCATATAAGCAATAACAAGAATGAAGGTGAATGTAGGTATATGAGGATTTACAGGATGCAAATTACAAATAAAAATGTAATAGATGCGTATTTATATAACAGTATGTAGGTGAGGATGATAAGGACGTGACACAGCGATACATATAACATATCCAAACATTTCTATCCAAATACATATGTACATATATATCGTATAGTGTTCATAAATATTGTACTTAGCATGCACTAATGGTACTCGGAAAGCATTCGGTTGTTAGAAAAGTAAATTATTTTGTTAGTTTTGTTATTTTCAGCTCGTTTTGCTTATAGGAACGCCACTCTCGTAAGCGAGTGCATAGAGTACAATACGTATTCGATATGCTGAACAGATAGTTATCTGTGTAAGTCTGTTAAAAATTATTTATTTTGAATTGGGTGAACAATGGGTTGGAAAAGGAGCATTAATTATATTTAATTATAAAATAACTTCAAATTATATAAAACATATTTTTAGACTATTTAGATACGTTCTTTTCGGAAATGAAAACAATATGCAGCCAAATAAATATATAAAAAAGCGAATGCATAAAATGGGTCAAAAAACGTATGTCGCAATGTGTGAATGAATCGGCCTTGCCTAAAAAGGAAGGTTTAACAGAGCTCTGTACTCAAGGTCAAATCATTGACGACTGGGTAATTGAAACAAAACTGACTATCAGTGTTACCTTCGTGAAAAAGGTGAAGAAGGTCTTCAAAAAATCTTACTAATGTGGTTAAACAAATATTTTCATGCGGCTAATTGCCTTTGGGATAACTGTGTATTATATCAATGTTTCTGATGAAACTTAATTTTGCATTAATTCACTGTGGTAGCCTCTTCCGTCTAAGTGAATTATTCTGCAAAATACCGCTCTCACTTGCACGAAAATGAGCTTTGGCTTTAGAAGTAGCCAAAAGCGTCTCTTAGGTGGTCCAATTTTTTACAGTATAGATGATTCGCTTACCGGAACGAGTCTAAGGAAGAAAAATTGCTAGTGATTGGCTGTTGCCGTACCAATCATTGAAAAAAAACTGCATTCGCATTCATACAACTCGTGATGCGGATTAATAAAGAAATCTATTGGAAAAATAATGTTTTTATTTTTACTACAAGTAGACCTTTTTATATTTTTAAACCAAACCAGGACTTTGTAGTTGCTTCCGCGAGTAATGAAATCGCTGGCGAAGAAATCTACGAGTCTTAAATCGCTGCAAATGAAATATTTAATCAACGAAACTCGATTCAAAAACGAACTCAAGTATTATTTACGGTACTTAGTAGGGTTGTGTTAGTAGCCTATATATGCATATGATCTCTACGAGTGCAAATGAGTTTTAATTAGTTTTTTACATTTTTTTTTATTTGTTTTTTAAGCTAAGAGTTTATTTACAAACGCATGGGGGTATTTTAATTAAAAACTCAATGATTTAAAAATGATAGGAGCAAGACTAGCGCAGCGTGTAAGTACTTAATATACATAGTATAAATTCAAACAATTCGAAACGTTTAGGTGACGGGAGAGGTTTTCTTTACAAGTGTTCACAACGTTATCATACGAGTGTTATTGGCTGGAGAGGGGATGTGTTAAATAATGGGATAATGGAATTAAAAATGGAATAACTTTTTTGAGTAATATATATTTATTATCGGCATGTGTGAGAGAGAGACAGACAGAGAGAGAGAGAGAGAGGAGTTTGAAATGAATTGCATAATTTTGAATTGAAATTGTAATTGTTTATTGAAAATTCAAATGGAAATGAAAGAGTAAATTATTTAGCAATGATTTGAACACCACTTACAATTTTACGCTTTGGCTGAGTGTGGCGCTGAAAGACACATGCCGGTTGCAGTGGCGGCTGCTGCTTCAGTGAGCGAGCTAGCACTTTCAACATGGGCGCGCTTGCGCGTGCGCGTCGTTATACAACAGCGTGGTGGTAGAGAGGAGCGACAACTCGCAATTCAACTTGTGACTTTTGACTCTGCGCGATTCATATATGTAGGTAAATAGTTTTTTTTTATTTTAGTTTTATATATTACAAATTATTATTTTTAATTATTAAATTTTTTTTTAAATTGTAGTTCATGGTTAGTTGAGAAATGCATGTTATCGTTTGTTAATTTATGTAAACGTAGATTCAATGTCGTTTGATCAATTATTATATATACATATATATATATATTTTTTTTTTTTTTAATTATTGTGAAATTTCACATATTGTCATTCATTCGATTTATTTAGTGTTATAATTCATATTTCATTTTATTTCGTTTTCAAACATGGAACAATACAATACAACAACAATAACAACAATTATTATTATCTTATATATCATTAAAATAAATCACTTCAATATATATGTATGTATGGATGTTTGTAAGATAAAGTATTGAGTTAGGAGTGAAATTACAAATGAGGATTTAAAAAAAAAAGTTAGGAAAAAAAATAAAGTTAATCAAATAACTTGACTCAGGCCAGAACATAGTATTTCTAGTGGTAAAATAAAGAAAAGGACCGAACAGAGTATAAAGGCAGATTAAGATTTTTTTAATAGGCAAATATATACTTAAATATCTGTCTTTACAGAAGTTTTAAAAACGTCATATGTATACATGGAACCCTAATATTGCAGCATGAGTGTGACAGCTATAGAATATGTCTCTTTTCTATTCGCAAACGATTATGCTATATACTAATAGAGATAAAAGTGACTACTTGGTCGATACAATTTTCGAAAATATTTTTTGATTTTTGTTATATATTAGTATTACTCGATTTTATAAAACATAACCTAACATATTCTTAAATCATAGAATAAATAAATAATACTAAACGTGTAAATAAATTTAAAGTATGTTTGTGTGTAGGTATATGATTGTGAGGAACATTTGTAGCATAATTTCACGATAACGGTAACGGTAGCGTTTACGTTAATATGTTTTAATTTACGAATACAGAATGACAGAACGGAGTAAGAAATAGAGAGAGTGGAGGGGGAGTCTTACTTGCCGCACACCTTGCAGGGAAAGTCGATCTCCTTGGCGGTGCTAGCGGCACCGGGCACGCCGCTCTGACTAGCGTCTTTGGGTAATGCACCGGAGGCACTCGCACCGCCGACGCCCGTTTGAGATTGTGTCTGTGACGCACAGCCGTTAGTCTGTTGGACGACGCTTGTTGAGCCAACCGCTGTGGCACCGTTGGGATTAGTAGTGTTGCTTGTAGCATTATTGTTGTGATTATTATTGTTATTGTTGTTATGATAGCTATTAGCATTTCTACCGTAGGTATGTATGCGAGTGTGACCATGCAGGGCAGCTTTTGAGGTAAAGCTCTGTGGTATCAGCGGCAGCGCGATAAATATAAATTTGCATTTTTCATGGAAGGGAAAGTGAGATATAATATTAATTTTCTACTATCGGTGAAGTGATGTTGGAAAATGAGGGTTGTTGCATTCAAAAATAGTTATTTTATACTTAAATTTAGCTGCGAAAAACGTGGTTAATTGCCGATCACATTTAACGAGAGTTTCGGCAGACAACCGTCACTTTGCCTTAGCGATTATAGAATGATATTGCTGTTGGGCAATTATGTGGCCTAAGGGATTAACTTACCGCAGAGCAATCCGGCACTTCGCAGACATACGGCTTCGGATCGTTCATTGGTGGTGGAGGTGGCGTTTCCGTTTTAAGATGTGATACTTTGTAGTCAACACAAAGTTTCTTCCAGAAATAATACATATGCACACATTCACCCGAGGTCTTTGTACCCAACTAAATATAAAATTGAATGGATGTAAATTAACAGTGTATTGTAACCACCTCCAAACACTTACCTCCAACGAAATGCGTCCAAAATCTTTGCCATGTCGTTCCAGTCCTTTTAAGAACACCTCCAATTCGGTAGCGGACCATTTCATCTGGAATGCATTCGACGGTGTTTGAAGTAGAGTTAGTACTGCCGCAGCCATATTTCCTTGTGCTTTGAGTAGTGTGTGCAGCGCTACTTCTTCGGTGTGACTGCCCAGCGGCACTGCCGATGATTTGCTCAGGTCAATGTAGCGCATCAAAATCTTCTCATCTGTTTGTACGGTGGGGTCCCACAATTGCTCCGCACCCACAGGCTCTTCGACGTCGAAACAAGATGTGGTTTTGCATAGCTCACCATCGGTTGCAGCATCGCTACCCGCACTGTGAATGCGCTCTCGACAAGGCGGTACTTGTGCTTGATACGCCGAGCCCAGATTGACCTTTGATTCATCCGAAAAGTCGACTAAACCCACCGGATCATCAAAATCATCGTCAAAGCTATCGAAACCAAGCAGGCCCGTGTTGAGTTGCTTGCGCACACTGCAATACAGTCCGACACCTTTACGATCGGGATTAAGTATAGGCGCCGGTGTATAATGCGTACGCGAAGGTTTGCGCAATTTGGAGCGATACGGTGAGAGCGGATGATATTTGGCGAAACTTTGTGAAGTGCTGCAGTCACTGGAATTGTGCGGTCGCAGACGACGCTTCAGTATGGAATTGGTTTGGTTGGAGAGGGGTTGCAGCGTAGAAATGACTGTAGAAGCCGCAGGTAGCTGACATGAGGACGATGAGATAGGCAGATTGCAGGCACTCGACTGATTGCCTATTTGTTGCAAAGCGGACATTGAGTTGTTGGAATTACTGGAGTTGCTGGCGAAGTAGATATTGGTGTCGGTATTAATGGAGCTACCGGCGGACAGAAGACTCATATCGCCTTGTTGTCCTGTTATATGTATTTCCTGTTTGTCGGTCGAACCTGTAAAGACTAGCTGCTGCTGTAATATGCCACCATCAAGCGTGGAAACATGCTGAATCGGTGTGTTTACGTCAATGTATTGTTGCTGGTTTTGTACTTGCGGTAGATTTTGTAGATTGTACTGTAGCGTCGCGGGTAATGACACACCGTCCCCGACTGTTTGATGCATTGCCATTGCTAATTGATTACCAACGTAGTCTCCACCGGTAGATGTTTGTTGCTGCTGTTGCTGTTGCTGTTGCTGTTGCATTTGATGTTCCATTTGCTGCGCGTAGAGCATTTGCTGTGTAGTATGCTGCAATTGCTGCGATTGTGGTAGTGATTGTTGACTTTGTTGTTGCGGCTGAACATGAACCTGCTGCGTCGTTTGTATAATTTGTCCCCGCTGCTGACCGAAATCTCTCGGAGATGAGGATAAGAGCGGGTCATCCGAATTGGGCATCATTTGCGATTGTAAGCCCAAACCCGGCAAATAATACAAGTCAATAATATTCTCACCCGATTGCTCTTCGCAATTCAGATTGATATTTTCGTCGGGTAACACATCGCGCAATACCTCTTTCACTTCTTCGGCTGTACCAATACTGCCGGTGAAAAATGATTCGGGTAAAGGCGAAGTTGCATTCCGCGAATCATTCAGAAACTCCTGGTCTTCATCCAAGAATGCCAGATTGCTTTCAGCAAAGTCACGTAAATCACATTCGGTGTCATCATCCTGTGTACCATTCAGTAAATCTTCTACCTTAATGGAACCATCGAAAGCGCTCTCCTCCAACACGGTCTTCAATTTCAATATTTTCTCGGTGTCGGTGAGCTCATGCTGATTGTCGTTGCTTTTGAAGAAAGTCACTTCGGTTGCGGACTGCGTGAGGAAATCGGCGCTGCATTTCTCATTGAAGAAAGCGTTTGTGACTTCGGAATACTGGTGTCCATCATCGACGTAGGGCGACGATTGCGTCATATTTTCATGACTGGAGGGTGGCGTTGGATATGCGAGCGGAGAATTTATAGGTGAGGATAATGTACCCAGTTGATGCGCGTTGGCACGCATGCTAGTCACAGCCTGTATCTGGGCACTATTTTGCATGATTAACTCCTTGGAATGAAATTGTTGGAAAGTAGGTAAAGTGGTGGGCATAGCATTGACACTACCGTCGGCTTCTAACTTCAAGTATTCGGCTTGAATGCAATTACCGCTATTGTCGGTTTGATCGCCTTCCGTGATCCCCACGCCAGTCACAGAGCCAAATTGTTCGGAATGTTCGCTTTTTAATTGTTGCGAGTCATCGTTGAGTAACTGCATTGAATCTACTGTCTGCAGCAACATATCCGTGTCAGCGACATTATAGACCTCGGCATCATCAAAAAATCCCGAGGTGTCACTGCTATAAGTGACCGTATACACATCACCACCTAAACTGCCGTCACCACTCTGCGATATGGTGAGTGATAGTGGCGTCGTGTCGTTCAGAGCAAGGCTGGCGGGGGTAGAAGATCGCAAGACATTAGCATTCGACTTGGCCATACGGGTGGGTAGAACCTGCACGTCGGACGGTATAATCACAGTGCGATTGTTGTTGGTAATTATTTGACGCGATCCGCCATTGCCGTTATTACTGCTACTGCTTCCCATATTTGTTATTGGGTTTGTACTGTTTAGTGGCTTCTTGGCAGTGACGGCGATGCGCGTTCCGCGCTTCAATAACTCAATGAGTGTAGAGTCTTTCGGATCGGTCGAAGTTCCCTTGGTAGTCGTTGTATTTGTCGTTGCTGCAGATTTCATCGTTGACGGATTCATCGTTGCACTGTTCGCTTGGAGAGCGGCACTCAAGCCCATACCCAAACTATGGCTCACATTACCAACTGTCTTCTGTTGCTTTGCGCTAAAAATTTCGATACCCTGCGAAATGCCGATTTGCTGCAAGCCCAATGTGCCACCACTGAAATTTTTGATTGTAGTTGCGGCAGGTAGCATAGTCGTTGTGGTGGCGGTGGGCGAATTCTGACTAGACGTGTTGTTGTTACTACTGTTGACACCATTACCGCCGCCGATGTTGCCATTGTGGCTGTGTGATTTGGGACTAAGGAAACTTTCTAGATCGCTAATCGATCGTCGGATTGTGGAAGTGCTGGACACGCTACTAGGTGGTGCAGGAACTACGAAGGCACCCTGTCATAGGCGAACACATCAACATAATTGTTTGAAAAGCAAAAACACCACTTTTCTACTCACCTTGTTCATATCTTTTCGTTTACTGATGATTTTCTCTTCGATCAGCGCACGCACGCCAATACTGGCTGTCTGCAGCGGTGGACCGCTGGGCTCTTTCTTTTCGGTCTTTTTGGTCTCGGGGTCTTTTTTAAAATAGCCTCCATGGAGCCGCATATGTCCGTTGAGTGCTGGTATATTCTTAAACTTGCGGTGACACAAATTGCATTCAACTTGCTTCTGATCCATCTTGACAATATTCAAGAGATGCGGATTAATGGCTGCCACAAATTGTTGATTAACCTCCTCTTCTTTGGGTTCAATGGGCGATGTTGCTGTGCTAGACGTCGCATCGGAATTGGACTCATCGACAGCTATGGATACATTTTGCGTGTTTAACTGAAAAAAGTGTGGGAATTAAAATGGAATGGAAAAATAATTATTGTGCTGAATTAATCCCTCAAGCAAGGGTATTGGCATTATAAAATGAGAGCTCATCAGCCGACCGAAATTGTGCTGAATTAATCCCTCAAGCAAGGGTATTGGCATTATAAAATGAGAGCTCATCAGCCGACCGAAAGCATCTTTTAGAATAAGTGTCTGGTTTTCATTGAGATACGTAATGGTAGAGGCCATATAAGTTTTTATAATGATAAATCGGTGGACTTTAGTGAAATCTACAGCTACCCCAAATAATTCAAGGATTAACTAATATATTTCTATTTCTTTTGAATGTCTGTAATGCATGTCTTGATAAGTTTTTTGGAAATATTAAAAAAATATGTATATTTTATAAATACTAAGTGGGCCATGACTAAAGAAGGTAGCTCTGATTTAAGAACTAGAGAAAAGACATTATTACTTTCAGAAATTAAAATTTGTAACTTATCCTTTTCATGCTTGCATATGTATTATTCTTTCAACTTTTTAAACTTACTAGTTGCATGTTCCATGTACGCGGTCGACCCGATGAACCGCTCACTGCATGATGTGATCCCGTCCCACCAAGTGTAGACGAAGATGGATTTGTGTCTACTTTGTAAGAATTAACGCTGGTAGGTGAAGAGACCGTCACCTGTGCGCTCGTTTGCTTTGTCTGTTGCATAATCTTACTGATCAAATCTAATTGCTCGCGCGTCAAACCCTCACCGGCGTCCACAATACTCGTCTCGGCGAGGGCAATCGTAGGTGACGAGGCGGGCAACGAAACGCCACTCACAGATGACGCAGACGACGTTGAAGTGGGCGAAAGCAGAGTGACACCGGTCTTAATGGGCAAATTGATGGCTTTTATTTGGTCTTCGGTTAGCGCAACTCCGGTGGCCGCATCAACAATACTGCCACCTGTAGAGATGTAAGTGCGTATGCATGTAGCACCGTCCGGTGAACTGGCATCCCCTACAAAAATATGAAACCCCATAACATAAGACGTTCTGTCATGTATATGAACGGAGTTCTACTTACCACTTGCTGTGGCCGGTGAAAGACTTAGGCCGTTCGGTGTGCTCGAGGTTGGTGAAAGTGTTTGATTTTGTGGTGTTATTATGCCCGAATGATGATTCTCGGTGTGACGGCGCAGGGAACGTGCATCACAGTATGATTTGCCGCAGCCCTCAGCTTTACATTCGTATGGCTTTTTGTTGCGATGTGTCATCATGTGGCCATTTCTGTGAGAGCAAAACGGAAGGTACGACGGTATGCAGATGCGAAAAATTATTGAGTTATTTTATTGTCAAAAAATGCATCGATTAAACTGTTTGCAAATAAGTACAAATAACTGTAATTAACTTACAAGTGATCTTGTCGCTTAAACGCCTTCGAACACATCGCACACACGTATTTCCGCTCGTCGCTGTGCGTCAGTTTGTGCTTCGCCAGCGCTGACGCATTTCCAAAGATTTTACTACAGATCTACAAATATCAAAGAACAAAAACAACAACAAGACAAAATGTTGTATAATTATACCAAAATATATTTTGCTTGCGTTATAGACAGACACACACACAAACCAGCAAGTCTGTACGACTAGGAAATTGGAAATTGGAAAACAATTTTGAAAACACCATAAACGTGCTGCAAAAACGCAGGAAAAATAACAAAAAATAAAATATAACAAAAACGTAAAACAAAAAATGAAGCAAAAAATGACAAGCATCGGAAAATACATGAGCATCATTAAGATCACGCCGAACTCGCGTGTTTCCACCGCCATTGGTGCCCAAACGAGTCTGCGGAAGTGTGCGCCAGCAGTCAACACCCACCCAATAAACCAAAACATCTCCAATTAGTGCAAAGACAATTAGAGATAATGAAGAAAATTATCTTGGGAAATTGTTTTAATTGTTAAGCCAAATTCCTCCCAATGGATTGGCGTTTAGGGGTCTGATATGTAAATATGGTGTACTTATCAAACATACTTACACATTTCACTCACACATGCACTTGTTCTAATTATTGTATGAGAAATCTTATTAGAGTACTTTGTTTATTTATTCATGTAATCTGGCGTATTTAGCAAATATGGGAGAGTTTATTTGTGTGCGTTTATGTTAATATCTAACCACAATTTGGGTATCAATCAGCGAGTTTTAACTCAAAATTGTAGGCATAAATATTTTTGCTTCAAAAATATACTACTTCGGCTTTTATATATAAGCAGATATTTTGTATTATTATATTGTATAGATTTGCCAATCATAGCTTTAGACATTACCCTCGAGGAAATACGCATATTTCACCATTCCACACTCTATGAAATCAGCAAAAGATTAGTGTTTTAGACATTGAGGTGCAATTTTTTATTTAGGTTATAATTTCAGAAGTACGTCAATTAAGTGATAAATCACTTGTTACTACAAAAAAATTGCTGGGATCTATCCAAAGCTAAGAGTGTCTGCTGTTTTCAAAAAAATCAACCTGAAATTGTCCGATATTTTTGATACCATCGATTGATCAATATTTCCATATTATTTTTCAGCTATCTAGAATTCTACATGTAAGTGACAGCTCTTCTAGCTTTAGAGTTTCTAGCTAGGCTAATAAAAGAGCATTACAAATAAATTCTTCGAAGAAAAATAATAGTTTCATAATTCAATTACCTACAAGTATATACCGTATACGATTAATATTGTTGACGTAAATTATTTATTTTTTCATTTCGGTATTCGATTTTTACGCCTGACCTATTTTCCTCAAGTTATGAGTTTATGTGAAACTCAATAATTTTCATTTAAAATGAAATGTTTGGATCTTTACCAAATTACTTAAAATTTCTTTAAATGGATTTCTTTTTGACAGTTATAAGAGGAGCTGACATAGAGCTGTATTTAAATTCTGACTGCAAACATGTTTTATTGAAAACAAGTTACAGAACCATAGAGAAAATATATTATGTATATGAAATATGTAATCTTAGTCAAGCTCAAACGCAACTTTTTATTTAATGTTTTTAGCAATAACCGATGTTTGGATGAAAAAGAGACGCTGGGCGAGTGCCGACGGCTCAAACGAGGCAAATATCCAAGTTTGGAAGAAGAAAAAGAAGCTCCACTCGGAGTATGGTATATTGGTGTAAATATATGAAAAATCTGAGAGTAACCACATCTTCTCTTTATATGGAGTTTTTCTTAAAATCACAAAACTTGCTAACACATTGCACCATAAGTTTCAGATATCGAGACTATCATTTAACAACATACGCAGAAAATGAGTTTGAAAGTAAGCAAAATCTTTTGCCTACTTCATTTGGTGTGAAGTGTCATGTGTTTTTTGGGCCCAAATGGTTGAAAACACGTTTTTCCCTAATTTTACAACTCCAACATTTCTTTCGTTTGCCTTTAGAGTATAGTTATCGTATATTAAATAATATATATAAAAAGTAGGTAAGAATGTCAAATATAGCCTCCATGTCCATATATTTTTGTGGTTTTTAGAAATTTTTTTCGCATTTAAGTGGGCCCCTAATTATTACAAAATGCTAAATATTTGTAAATAAAATAGCTGTTTTAGCAGTAGAATTTTTTTCCAGGAAAGCTTTAAATAAACAAGCTTACACCTATAACTTAAAAGCCCAAACTGTGGTGCTTCCCTGAGGTGAAATCCAAATACATACATACTTACATGCGAGCATACATTTTACTCTAAATAAATATTTTAATTGACAAGTAAATGCAACAAAATAAATTTAACGACTCTCAACTAATGGACAGGCACTTAAGTACAATATATTTCGTTCATATTTATGAAAATGTCTATCTAAATAGTCATAAGTTTAAGCAGCTAGCAGGCCATTACGTAGTAGTTCCACGTCGAGAGCAATGACTGTAATGTCTAAAGTATACAAAAAAAAAATATATTAAGTACAATAAAAACACCGAATTATTCACTTTAAAAATATCCATGTGCACACGACGAAATGAGTAACCTTTAGACGAAACTCATAAGTGACCTCATTTGAAGTGACCGCTATAGTTATGTTTTATTATTTGTTTGTACGAACTGACTTTACAAAGTATTTGATGTTTTCACATTAGCTTAAAAAGATGAATAAACTTGGCAACTTATGCCGTCAATGTGAGCGAACCTTCAAACCTTTGAACCCTTTTTTATTTTATTTTTTATTTAAAGAGTCAGTGACTGAATTGCATAATACTTTATAATGATATAAATGACTTCATATTTCAAGTTTAAGGTTCAATGAATGCGTAAGTAAATGTTCAAAAAAAAAATCATAAAAAAAAGAAGTAAATAAATAATAACTAATAAAGTAAAAAATATCACAACGAAATTTCCTTGCGGGTATTCAAAGCTAAGCATGTAGCAGTGTACCTCTTTCCGCTTGGATGCTCTCTACATTTGTAATTCCGAATGCGCAAACCATGTATACCTACATCTGCACCATAAATGTGTAGATGCGATGGAAAATTCTGGTAAAATGTTTATTTGTGTAGATAATTTACTAATGCATATATGTTCAGTAGTAAAATTACTAAATGAGCCGTGAATCTCCTCGCGAAATGTGAAAAGTGAATATTTGGTAATGCGCGAAATGTTTATTACATATCTATTCTTTATTATTGCACAAACTAGAGAACTCAAAAATACAATGATTTACTTTCGGTGCCTATACTTCTTGAACAAATAAACTTATGAAACATGGAAGCATTTCTAATAAAATACAACTCTAAATTTAAACATAGTTTATTATTATTTAATTAACAGTACTTTAATAATTCATTATTTCTAGTAAACTTGCAGAAAAGCGGCCATAACTTGTCAAAATTAACTAAACTACTACTACTAACTAACTTTTTTTTTAATATCTGAAAAATTTTGAAAGGTCTCTGATTTAGAAAAGTATATTTATTAAGTAAAATATGTTTCAAATTCAACTCACATTGGTCATGCATCTATAAACTTGTACAGTAGTATATAAAAATAACAGTTCATATCTCCTCTGCATAACATTAGCTGAATTTCTTTTAGCCTGCAATTTGAATCCCCTCGAACAGACAGTTCATCAACTCATTCAACGGAAATGACGTTTTGGAAGTCTAAACACCCTCCGTAGAGAACGAAGTGCTCCAGTTGAGTGCCAAAAGAGAGTAAGTCTCTCTTCATGGTATTCTGGTACTGGAGTAGACTATAATCATACCAAATCTGACTCCGTTCGTCACGCCAACCGTGTGTCCTGCATCCAACGAGTACTCGCATGACATAAGCCAACTCTATAAATGATGACGCAGACCTATTACGATTCCGTAATTTGGAGAAATGCTGCGGAGTTGACAGTCGTTGGCCGGGTAAAATCCATGTACGTTACGATTACCACTGTCGTAGTATCCCGTACAACACAATTATAATCTTTGATACGACGTATTTAACATTTATACGAATTAATAACACACACATATGTCAAGGTGTACTGAGCAGGAGTTCATTTTACTTTTCAACAGCGGTTGCTATATTCTTCTTTATTAAATCACATGAGCAATTTAAGCATACATTTTTTACTATTATGCTATAAACTAAATTAGAGATGATTTTCCTTTTGTGCCTCTAAACATACATGGCGCTCACATATAATATCGTTGCTTCATCACATTACAACAAAAAATTGTATTGTTGCAATCAATTCGAAAGTGCTAACACGCCGCCGCAACAATACTACCCAAATTGCTACTTAACCAACTTCTGGCACTCGCCTCTCCCCAATTTATAGCAAACCCTATCGAGACAAATTAATCAACCGCGCATTGTGACAACCCGTATCGACATAATACATCTGAACTTGGCACCCGCCATCTACCCCCACCGTTTTGTCCCGCAATCATCCACTTGGACTTACCTGGCACTGTTGTGGTCCATGACGCGTTGGAGAAGATAATTTGGTGCGATTCTTCTTGAGCGTCGCGCCCGTCGCAGCGCTCGCCGTGACACTTTTGCTGCTGCCGCCGCTCTTCAGTACGCCGCCTCCACTGTTGTTGCTGTTGACACTGACTATGCTGTCGTTGCTGCTGCTCGACGAACTAAAATTACTGTTGCTGCTGCAATTGCTGTTGCTGTTCGTGTTGCTATGATTCAGTAGCGACGATGAGCTGCTCGTGCTGCTATTGCTCATTATCTGTGCCAACGAGGTGACGTTGTTGGTGTTGCTGCAACTGCTGCTGCGTATCAGGCAATTCTTGACGTAGCTGCTGGTCGTCTTGTTGGTGGTATTCGTTGCTGTGGACACCGTTTGCACGGATGACTTGGCCGTCGTGTGCGCCGTTGTTGTTGCGGCGTTTGTTGTTGTTACTGTTGCCACGCTGGTTTGATTGCGACGACTGATTGTGACTTTGTTCGCAGGTGCGGAGGTGGACGTGGAGATGCTGCTGTTGCTCGGCGCACTGCTCGTGCCGTTGGTCAGGGTTTTTGTGGTTTTATTGTTGTTGCAGTTGCTGCTATTACTGCTAATCGGATTAGTATTATGATTTGTTATTGTTGTTGACGATGTTGACACCAGCGCACTGCTGTGATTCTTAAATGCTGCAAATTGTTGACGACGAAATCATGAAAGGTTAAACGCTTGGAGGAGTTCAACGTTTTGTAGCATACTTACAGGCTGTCTGCAGTGAACCGAATACGTCGGCCAACATCTCCGGGTCGGGATAGCCGATGGTCAAGGCATTTTCCAAAGACGTTTGCGCTGGCGACTGATTGGAATCGGACGAGTCTCTCAATTGTAGCGTAACGGAACCTTCAGTGCCGACAGAGGCGCTACACATCAAAACACGCGGCGACGACAAGCTCGTTAATGGCAAATGAATACTTTTCTGCACCTGCAATGACCGAACACACAAAGAAAACAATACATGCAGCATAAGTATTGAATTCAAAAATAACATTTTCGAAACTTAAAATTAAAATATATAAATTTCGAGAAATTCGCACTAAGAGACAAGTAAATGCTTCACAAGTGAATAATATTATTCAATTTTACTTGCAGAATTTCGCCTGCCGCCAGCGCTAGTCACTTAAAATTAATTATTTAATATTATGTGCGGGCTGCCTTTGCGCACGCTGGGGCTTTCATATATCCTACGACCGTCACACGATCAATCGTCGCCCATTTTCGCAGAGACTGCCAAACAGCTAATGTGCTGACTAAAGGCTAATTAATTAAATGTGAATGCATTCACTCTTGAGGTCCAATAAATGCCCGCGTTGTCGCGCCATGGACATTTTTGGGCCATAGTAATGACGGAAGTACGAAATATAATTTTGAGGGAGCAAAGTGCGCATTTGTCCTACCGCAAAATGGCAGGCGAATGTGAAAATAGCAAAATGCAAACAAATTACGGACAGCTAATAAATGAACGGTATATTTCGAGATTTTGGTGCTAATTTAAATAGCGTCTAAAGGCAATGACATCTCATTTGTTTATTTAAAAGCTGCACTTATCACAAATAATTGAAAAATCAGCTGTACATCAGCAAATATGAATCGGTAAGATTTTTAAAATATTTTATGAATATCATCTGTTACCCACAATTATTAAAACCTATATTAATATGAATGCGAATACGAAAAAAGATAAAACGTTAACTTCGGTCAAACCGAAGCTATGTATAATAACCTTCACAAATACAAAATAATCCTTACAAGAACTTGATTTTGATAGGTCAGTTTTTATGGCATCTGAACCATTTCTTCGGAGATTGCATTATTGCGTTAGATAATAAGCCATACTAAATTTCATGAAGATATCTCGCCTAATTAAAGAGTTTTCCATGCATGCACTTGATTCCGATCATTCAGTTTGTATGTCAGCTATATGCTATAGTGATCCGATATCGGTGGTTCCAATTCCGAGCTTCTTGGAGAGAAAAGAACGTGTGCAAAATTTCAGATCAATATCTTAAAAACTGAAGGCCTAGTTCGGGTATATACAGACAAACAGATGGACTTGGCTAAATCAACTAAACGACTAATTTATATATGTATAGGTATACCTAATAGGGTCTCTGACGTTTCACTGTTCAGGGTATAAAAATATTTTTCCCCAGATTGGTGCAAGGTTTTCTATGTTCGTGTGAAGTTTAATCACCATACATATATCAATTCGTGTATGTTTAGCAAATGTTGGTTTACGACGCGAAAAGATGTGGTATCATAAAGCATTCAGTAAAGGTCCTGAAGTCATCGCAAACTTTTCTCATGCGAGTCTGACATTCACGTCTGTTAATGACGATAACATTGAAATAATTTGAAGAAAAGCGCTTGAAAATTATCGTGTTGACATAAAGAGAGATAGCAGAGAATCTTTTATGGATCCACTCAAGACATTTTGGTTTATGTTTTCGGTACGAAGGGAATCAAAACTAGTCTCGCGATGCCGTTGAATCTTTTGCAAAAATTACGTCAAGTCGAGATTGGAAAAGGGATTGTTGACAACGTAGCTGAGGACCCTAAAATCATCGAAGGAACTGATGACGAGATGTGGGCACAAAAGCCTATTTTGAAGGCGATAATAAAAAATTGTATTAAGGAAAAAGTTTTTTTGTTTTGACAGCCAAATTTGATCATACGCGTATAGTACAGAAAAAAATTAAGTGTGTTGATTTTTTAACAGTAATGAGAGCCATGGTTACAAAAACTTATTAAAATAGTAATATGATTACCTACAAATATGATTTTAGGTTTCTGAACAGATGATATTCAAAACACGATTCTCAACTAGGAAATATCGCAGAAATAAACGTTTTCTTTTGAGAGTCTTAAACCTTTAAAGCAGATGTTCCAATATTTCGCTTTTACCATAAACAAAAATGTAATTTCGTTGGAAAACCAATAGATACAGACAATCCATGCAAAGCCGTTCTAACCGCAAAATCGATAATAATTTTTTTGAGAACAAATATATTTAATTTTATTGAGCCACAAACATATGTGTACCGATTGAAAGCTCTCATATTTAAATAATTTAATAGTTTTCGTTCAATTTTATTGCATTTTGAATTTGATAATTCCGCATTATTCCCTGCATATTGTGTGCTGTTTCTTATTTTGAAATGTAGATATACACATAAAATCATTAATAGAGCATCATCATTTGGCCAATCGCTGTCTCGCACTGCCTTTTATTGGGGGCCGAATGGTCCATTGGGCGGTTAAAGCCGCCATTCCACCGCAGCGTTTGGCCGAATTCGCGCCACATGAAATCATGAAAACTGCAGCGCCAACTGAATACGCGGAGAATTCGAGGAATTTCCCAAAAGCAAAGTTGAATGCATTTGAAATACATCATTGCGGGCCAAAGCAAGCACTTACAACAGAACTGCAAGCAAAAAAACACGAACATATTCAGCATCGAAAAATGAAGAGCCCACAAAAAATGTCAAAAGGCGCTAGAAATTTCGGAGACAGAAGTGAAAAAGAAATTAGAATTGGTTTAAATAGAAATAAATAAATCACACACGCATATTTGTGTACAGACAAGTGTATGTGTGATTTGAGAAAAATACAAAATTGCTGCGAAGCTTAAATTAATTTAAGACTAATAATATTCAGCTATCGGTACGCAGGGAAGCTCTTTCTTCTATGGAAACCTAATACATTGCGAAATCTTTAATAAAAAATAGCAACACTGGTGAAGTATGCGACATTATGCCGTCACTTATAAATCAACAACTACATCACATACACCTATAAATATCTAAATGAAAAGAATAGAAAATATCTAAGAAAATTCTGGTTCTCATTTTGAAGGAGAAACATTAATTTTATAATTAAAGTAAAAATATATTCATAAGATTTAATTGCGAAAATATAATCCAAATTATGGAAAAATCGAAAAAGAAGACTTCTCACACCGGAAACGTATTTTTCCAATAAATGCATAGCCCACAAAACAGATTTCGTGTCTCTCGAAGAACTGGTGTCACACGAATGCAGATTGGGCCAATTGATTTTCTGATTGCCAGCAATTCGATTAAAAGAAACAGTGCTCCAAGTAAGATGAAGTATTTCATTACCATTGTTTAAGAACCAGAAGCAGCTTCTAATGAGCTAGTTTTAAACCAGCTCAATTTCCTACAAGGTGACTTATTCATATGTGAACGTGTAGTTACTATGGACGCCTATGAGTACAGCGGCGCACAAATATACCGTAGTACCGACAATTTTGTTCCCTGCATGTTTGGCGTTTTATAATAAAATATATATTCTTTTAAAAACTATATATACTTTACCGTAAATTTTAGAAAAATAAATTATTAACAGAGTTTTTGATTTGTTTTATTTTTTGTTATGTTTTTTTTTTTGTTAAAGCAAAACAATATACGTTAGTTATTTCTATACCTGGGAACTTCTCTTTCTTTGTAGGTAATTTTAGTACATTTAACTCCATCATTTTTTTATTTCCATATTATTAAAAATTCAGAGTACGATACGAAAAGTAGCTCTATGAATGCAGACCAGGCTTAACGCTAGTCGAAAAAGTGCACGTGGGATATGTTAAATTTCGTAAAAGTTATATGAGCATCAAAGATGGTAAACGAAGAAAAGTAATTGCGTACGAAAACAACAATAAGCTATACACTGAATAGAGTTACTGGGGCACAAGCTCACAGTCCACCGATTGAATATGTCATAAGGCAATGAAGAAGATTTCGAAATTGCTTGAATCAGACTTCGAAAGGCTTTCGCAACCAAGTTTTTTTTTTTAATCTGTCCTCCAGCTACTTCTCCATGTTCTTCGACATTAGAAGAATACTCAACAGGAAAACAATTGATTAAAAATGAGTGGGTAACAGCCGAGATTGACGCCCATTTTCAAGTAATAAGCAGATTGTACTAAAAAAATAGTAACGAATAGATAAGCATATCGTTATAATCGTCTTATATACCATACCTGCAAAATATATTGATCAAGATTCTTAAAGTTGTAGCAACTATTACCCATCAACGATATTAATTTTGCATAAAGTAGCTATAGGAAAGTCCCGCATTAATTTTAAATCGAAATATAATGTAAAAAATGGCCTACTAGGTAGGTGGTCATCAAGAGATTAACAATTCTCATGAAAAGTGTTATAAAACTTTTTTGGGTGTATTTACAACCTAAAAGTTACATTGAAGTCATAAATATGTTTTGCTATCCCAAACTCAAGTAAAACTTCAAAATTTTACAACATCTAGCTAAGTTGATTGAGCACATGAACACATGTCCGTATGTATAAACATTATAATAATAACGGCATACCGAGTATAAATGCACAAACATATCATACATATATATGTAAAAAGTAATAAAATCTAACAGACAACAAGGCGGCATCAATACGCCCGCTTGAGGAATAAAAAAGTCTCGGCTAATAACGGCAGGGAAACTATCAAATGTAGCGTGCAAATGTGTGAAAAATAACATAAAAATTTCCTTTCATTTCAAATGCCAAACACATGTACACACATACATGGATGCGCACATACTTTCAATTTCAATAAATATATTTATAAAACTTTTATCCATCGCGCAGAATGTGGGCGGTTTATTTTTCTTCGTTTTTTCTTAAAGTTTTCATAGTTAAACATTCTAAAAAACACGCACATTATTTCCCTAGTGTTATATAATGAATTTGAAATAGATATGTACACATGCAGCTAGGCATGGATGTGTGTGTGTGTGTGAGCGTCTGTACTAGTTTGTGTGCCTTTTTCACTATTTCACCATGATTCATATGTCAATCAAATGTCAATGTCACGCAGCTAAACAACGGCGACGATGACAGGCACGGTGAAAACGGCAATGAATGGGATCGGTGAACGGTAATGATTATGACACCGACGAGAAGATGTTTGGCAGAAAAGAAATAGATAAAATAAAACTATTTAACTCTGAACATGAGGTGCTTATTAATATGTGAACACACAGCATTACCCTCAAGTTGCCGAGTCAGTTTATTTGAAATATTTTCCTCCAGCGCTCACTATAACGTAGAGCACATAAGTAAAATCTCTTTAATTCATTTCGATATAAAATGTGTGGAAAAGTTGGAGGAAAATGGTTCCACAATGAATCAAACACGATCTATGCAACGTCAAACTTTCGAAAACGAAAAGCGTGTAAGAGCCGTCCACCACCAAAACTCTTAATTTCGTTTTTTTTACAATAGTTTTTCCAGAACCTCATAGCTATACGCGTACGCATCAGCTAACTAATATAATTTCAAAGGACTTCGCTAGCTGTTAGTAAAAAACACTAAGAGTTTTTTTTTAATGAAATTAATAATATTGGAACCAAAGAGGCAGAATGATGTCCTCTTCCCACTTCTGAAATACTTTTCCACAAGAATTTTAATCGACTATCTCGCTTCTTTACTGCCTTATACTCTCCTCTATGATGTTTCCATTCACCAACTAGACGAAGGTTTACAGGCCATACCGAAATATCTTTGCCGATGTCGTCAAAACTCTGCCAATCAACATACCCAAGATATTAAGTACATTTGACAGTATGTACTCTGTCTATAATCCTTTCTTCATACACGGCTCTACACTGCCGCAACAAAACTAAACAACCTATGTTGGCTAGAAATATGGCCGGTCTTGAGCGTCCCCGTCTTACCACTTTCACAGTCTTACCCCGTCGAAACATTTCGTTTCCTGAACACTTCGATTACTCTTATCTTATCTTTCTGCCAAACAGAATTTAGGTATATACAAGAAAAGTACCTGGTATCAAAGGAAAAACCACATACAAGACGGACACTCTACTATTTTGCTTTTGGTGGTAATAATTATAAACTAAATGTACTTCCCTTAAACTATTGAAATAACATCTGTTTTATTTAAAATTTGACTAGACATTACCTAGGCAATATGCCTTACGATCACAGGCAATTAGTAATACAAACAAATTAGCATACAATATACCAGCTATAAAATTTTTTGTTTGAAGCACAACGACAATACGTCATGAACTTTGTTCATGCTACAACGAACTCACAAACAAAAACGACTAAAAGTTTTATTAAATTGTCATAGAATCACTTAGTTTTATTACTATATTTTACTTCCCGTCAGCTAAAATTGTATTAAAATCATCTTCAAATGAGATATATGGGATAAAAACTCAACTGAAGAAGTTAAATTTAATATAACGAGTTGATGTGAAAACATTAAGTTAATTTTGACATTTTGACAGTTTGAAAATCTTATATTAGGTATATGAGAGATAGCCAATACTAGCCGATATTCAAACATTGTGATATTAGTTATACAATATAGGGGCTCATAAGCTTCCCCCGACTTTATCCATTTCAGGCACAAAGGTACACAGTTGTTATAAAAACACGCTCCCATATTTTCATTGATATAACTCACATATTGCCCGATATATCCGGTATAAAGTCACCCGGAAGTTCGAAAATTTGTATATTAGATATATGGGGGCTAAGGAAAGTATTGACCCGATTCAGTTTTGACATTCAGACAAAATATTATCACGAAAGGATTCTCACCAAATTTCAATTATATATCTCACATATTAACCAGTATTTTCGGTTAAAAGTCAACTATATGACTGGGGTCCACATATTCGGTACTTAGGGGCTTGAACAGTTTTGCTTCGATTTGTACAATTTTTGGTCATAAGGTGGCACATTTCAGTGGGACTATTCGTACAAAGTTTTATCCCGATATAATAATTGTTGTAATGTTTCTGACGCATTTAGTTATTGATTTATCACATTTTTAGTAGTTTTCCAAAATCGGTATATGGGGAGTGAATTAACATCCGATTTCATCTCTTATCACACTATCGTAATAAAGGTTGAAAATATTTGTTGTGTGCAAATTTGGGGGATATAGCTTAATTGGTTAAAAAGATATACACATTAAATTTATTAGGGGACGGGGCCACCCACTTTTCGCAGATTTTCAAACCACATGTGCCCCCCTTTTATGTGATTCGTTGTGCTAATTTGAGTTTTTATCTTAATTTACAGATTAGTTAAGGCATTTTAAATGTTTTCGATTAATGGGGTTTTTGTGGGCGTGGCAGTAATCCGATTACGCCCATCTACGAACTCGTCCTTACTATTTTACCAAGGAAAATGTATAAAAAGTTTTATGAAGTTATCTTAGTTTTTACTCAAGTTACAGCTTGCACGGACAGATGGACACGGACGGACAGACTGTCACCCGATCATTTACATATGTATAACCCTATATCGATTAGTTTAAGGTTATACAAACAAACGTAAATTAAACAAAACTAATATACTCTGTAGCAATATGTTGCAAGAGTATCGTACAGGCTAGTTGAAAAGTGTCTGCTCTCACCAAGAAATAGCACTACTAGCTCTTTTTTTCTCAGGTTGGTACATTTGAAGTTGACGTGTCAGAGTATTTTTTTATTATGGAACAAATTAAATATCGCGCCGTGATTAGATTCTTTGTTTTGAAAGGTTTAAAAGCAAAAGAAATTTATGAACAATTGCTAGAAGTGTATAAGTATATACTTTCGAAACGCACCGTTGAATTTTGGGCAGGTGGATTTAAACGTGGTCGTACTAGGCGTGACGACGATCCACGCGAAGGACGACCAAAAACCGTAACCACAACAGAAATCATTGAGCAAGTGGGTAATATTGTTAGTGAAGATCCAAGTTTGACTAAGCGTGAAATTGCTAATGCCATAGGCATCTCAGACGAACGGGTACTTCATATTTTACAGCACACGTTAACAATTCAACAAAAACTGGATCGAAAACAAATTTCTCAGCATAATTTGGCTTTGAGTCGAATACAACCGATTTCTTGCTTCGTTTTATAAATATGGATGGGATTTGGGTCTACCACCATGATCCTAAATTGAAACAAGAACGTTTACAGTTGGCTGAAGCTGAAGGTTGTTCAGTTCAGAAGTTATGGCATCAGTTTATTGGGATGCAAAAGCAATTTTGTTAATTGATTATCTGCAGAAAGGTAAAACAATCAACTCTAAATATTATTGCAGCCTTTTGGATCAGCTGGACGAAAAAATTCATGAGAAAAGACCTGTTTTGCAGCACAAAAAAATGTATTCTTCATCAAGACGATGCACCTGATTTGGCTCCCAGCGACAACTCTCTCTTCAGAAACCTGAAACAATTCCTTCGTGGTAAGCGGTTTTCGTCGAATGAAGATTCTATTACAGCCGTAAACGGGTATTTTTCAGAGCTTACGGAAAGTCATTATAGGATATGGCATATTGGAGGATCATTGGAACAAGTGTATTAAAGTTAAGGGAGATTATATTGAATACAAATATATATTTCGTACCAAAAACAGATTTTTTTTTAATTTCGAGCGCTGAAAATTTTCAACCAACCTGTATAACAAGTTCTTATCTATATTATTTCAGCCAAAGCGTTTGAACTTTGCCTGGTATGAGAATTTTTTAAGAAATATTAATGCTTTGCACCTTATTAGCGCTAAGTGAATTCAAACAGCTCCGATAGATTATCTACCAATAAAAAGCACTCACGAGAGCACGCATACAGAATTATTGTGGGATTATGAAACTGCGGCGCTGTTCTCAACTGTCAAAGAGTACTGAGACGTTGATGAATGAAATTTATGAACAATTGTTAAAAGTGTATAAGGATTCCTTACTTTCGAAACGCACCGTTAAATATTGGGCTGACTTTAAACGTGGTCGTACTAGGCTTGAAGACAATCCACGCGAAGGACGACCAAAAACCGTAATCGCAACAGAAATCATTGTGGGAAGCGTTTTTCGTCGAATGAAGAAGCTATTACAGCCATAAACGGGTATTTTACAGAGCTTACGGAAAGTCATTATAGAAATGGCATAAAATTATTGGAGGATCATTGGAACAAGTGTATTGAAGTTAAGGGAGATTATATTGAATAAAAAATATATTTCGTACCAAAAACAGATTTTTTTTCATTTCGAGCGCTGAAAATTTTCAACCAACCTGTATAACCAGTTCTTATCTTTATTATTTCAGCAAAAGCGTTTGAAGCCGAACAATTTCCGAAGAGATTATCTACCGATTAAAAGCACACACGGGATCACGCATACAGAATAGTTGTGGGATTATAAAACTGCGGCGCTCTTTTCAACTATCACACAGTAGTGAGACGTTGAGGCAACAGGTGTTATAGTCTTAGATATAACACGTGTAACTTTAAATTAAGTTTTTAAAGTTATTTTGTGACGAGTTAAAACGGAAATGCAGAGCTTCTATGAAAACAAACGGGTATTCATTACCGGCGGAAGTGGTTTCCTGGGAAGAGGTAAAATATTTGTATTGTAATATTTACGTAATGAAAGTGTGATTACGTAGTCTAGTTTTAGACATTTAAATTATGAAGTTAAAAAAAGGGTATAAGGATTATACGCCAATTATATCTATCGATTTTAATTTCTTTTCCGTCCAATTCATCCAATCCGCTGGGAATCCATTTCTACAGCACAATTATCCACTTTAAATATCTCTTGCAGTAATACTCGAACACTTGCTTCGTAAAACAGAGGTGAAATGCATATATATGCTGATCCGCCCCAAGCATGGCACCACAGGTGAGGAGCGCATCAAGGCAATTCTTTCCGAGCCGGTATGAACGAGTTCTTATAAAGATTGAAACATAAAAAATAATTACAGCCACTTCTATATTGAACAGCTTTTCGTCAAAGTTAGAGAGCTAAAACCGCAGGTGCATACACTCATTACACAGATTAATGGCGATTGCGCCCAACCAAATTTGGGTATCTCGCCTGAGGACCGCGAAGTACTAACGACAAATGTAGACGTGATTATCCATTGCGCAGCCACAGTACGTTTCAACGAACCACTCTATAACGCCCTCATTCTGAATGTCGGCGCTACGAAGACCATATTGGAATTAGCAAAGGAAATTTCGCAACTGAAGGTCAATTGGAAATTACAAATTACCGTACAAAAATAAAGTCATAACAATTTATATCCATTTTAGTCTTTCGTACACGTTTCCACTGCCTTCTCTAACTGCATTTTGCCACACATAGATGAAAAATACTATCCGGAAATCCTTGGTATCAGCGCTAATAAAGCACTTAAAATAGCCGAACACTTAGGACCGGAACTAACTAACATTTTGGAAAAGCATTTATTGGGTCGCTTTCCAAACACTTATACCTTAACGAAAGCGCTGGCCGAAGAGCTGATTTTAAGTGAAGCCGGCACACTGCCGATTTGCATTTTTCGTCCAGCCATCAGTAATTATAAACTCAAAACAAACGATTTACAATACTTAATTATTATTGTTACTTTTATTTATTTTACAGTTACCCCCACATATGCAGAGCCCACACCCGGGTGGGTGGACAAATACGCTGGCGCGATCGGTACTTCATACGCTATTGCTCAGGGAATGATGCGTGTTCTGCATATACACAGCAATAAGCGGTCATTGTTGGTACCAGTGGACTTTTGCGCGAACACGGTTTTGGCCTGTGGCTACAAAACTGGTCAACTAGAAAAGGTCGAAAAAGAAAAAAGGTTAGTTTTTTTAGAGAAGTTTAAATGGAACACAAAACGGTTCGTTGTAGGTGCTGAGTGAAAAGAAAGCTGTTGTCTCATTAACTAAAGAAAATATTCCTCTTTTCTATATTTTTCTTAGTAAACCCTTGATCTACAATTTTGTGCCAGATGAAAGTAATGGAATTAATTGGGGTACTGTGATAGACGCCGGTGCTCACTATGGGAGAAAGTATCCCTTCTCGAACATCATATGGTACCCATTCATTGTGAAAGTCCAAACGGCGAAACTCCAAACTATTTTGGCGTTCTTTTTACACATCATACCCAGCTACATGCAAGATATATTATTGCGTTTGCATGGCAAGAAAACGCGGTAAATCTATAGCACAGCAATACAGCGCAGATTTAATTTTAACTTACTCTTTTAGAATGGTATATTTGAATCAAAAGCAAGAACAGTCCCAAGAAATTTTTAACTATTTCAAAACAAACGAGTGGACTCACGGCACTACGAATATCAAGAACTTGTGGCAATCTCTCACGCCTGCGGAGCAGTCTAAATTTAATTTCAACATGTCTGGTGTATGTTGGAAACAATATCTAAACGTCATTTCATTTGGTATACAACGTTACTTAGTTGGGGAAGATGACGAAACTATGTCGAAAGCGATGAAGCGCCTAAAAAAGTAAGTTGCGAGCACCGAAAAAAGAGCTATGTTCAGATTAAAATTTACATTTCTTTCTTTTAAGGTTTCAATTTATTCACCAATCATTACTGGCTTTAATAGTGACGGGACTTACACTGTATTTATTGTGGCATTTTATTGCATAGAGCAACGGTACTTAAATACCAACTATTTTAGTACAATAAAAAGTATTGCAAAATAATAAGTTACGACAATTTACTGCGGCGTAGTTTTGAATGGCTAACGGGTATAAAACCAGAAATCACTACTTTTTGAATAAAAATTAAATTTTTAAAAAAGTAATCAGACTTGTTATATACAATAAAATATATAGTTTTCATTGGAGCATTATTGAATTTTCTAATTAACAGCAAGTAGATAAATATCGATAGAGCCGAACTAAATTTAAAACCGGAATACTTGTTATGCAAGTATAGACCGATATTCCCTGGTTTTTCGGTAATGCCTGAGAGATTGTTACCTCCGTACTTCATACACCAAGATACTATACATAGCTTAAAGACTCTTGGAGGGCAACTCTCTGCCATTCAGAATAAAACGACGGTATTCGAACGTTGTCTATCATCGAACAGAATCCTAACCTTACTTCCTAACCTTGGATTCTTGTCTCAAAGCATGACTTAAATTTTGTACAGCTACAACAATAACAAGACATTGCGGTGCGCGTACATCGGCTTTGAATCCGGCTCTCGACCATCGAAGGTATAAACGATTTTTATTCGCCTCCTCGGTCCCGTTATTTCACTTATTGGAAGCTTTCACAAAAACATTATGTGATTGGAAAATAAATTTGGCGCAATTCTGGCAAATGGCTACTTTTCCATATACATATATATATAATACAAGTTTGTACGCAGACACATACATATGTATAAACTCAACAATATTGACGCTATTTGATTCGTCACAGCTTTAAATGGCTTGCCAAAAATTAATGAAGTACTCAAAGTACAACTACAGCGCATACGTAAGAACGCTACCTATGCGGCACATATATACATACACAACTCATAAGTATGTGAGTATGTGAGTATGTGTAGTGACGCATGCGGACACCCGCTAATTTATAAATTAAGTGGGCGCATATGGATTTAAATATTCACAACCAACACTTACATATGTACATGCATACATACGTTTATGAATTATTTTCATGTGCTTTAATGTTTCTGTTTTTTCCTGTTATTATTGCTGTTGCTTTTGCATCTTTTCCACGGATGAGTGATAAAAATGATTCATCTGTCTACTTACCGAATTTATGGTAGCCATCGTGGTGAATGGTGTTGGTGGTAGCGATGGTTATTATATTGTTGGTGGTATTTGTGGTTGTAATGGTATTGGTGGTTTTGGTGGTATTGGTTGTGGTTGTGGTGATGGTGGAGAGGAACAAAATCAAAAATCTGCAAAAAAGAAACAAGAAACGTAAAGATGAAAAAAAGTTCATTGATGAGTCCAAATGGTGCAAAATATAATAACTACAAATATATGACATGCATATGTATGTACAAGTATGCATCATACATACCCTACATACATATGTACATATTTAAACATAGATTATTTGCATGTGTGCACTTTATTTATTTACAATATTTATTGATGTTTATAAAAAGCTAAAAACAAATAAAAGTAGATGAGCCATATTAAAAAGCCAATAAATTTGCATTGATGAAAATATTACACATGAGAATAAATGAAAATCTTAAGCCGTACGTACATATTTATTTATGGCAGCATTATTAGTTTAATTTTTTCATTCCGAATGGAGGCCTTCAATGTTTTATGAGGCTTTTAAATATTTCTATTATTTAGAAATTATTTTATGGCAAAATATATATATGTTCATTTTTCCTTTACAATTTGCTGGTTTTAGGACTTTGAGAATTACGGCAGTTGACTTCTTTATAATTTAAGTATATCTAAATATTTACTTTACACATATCTAAGTTTATTACATTCTCACTTCTATCTAGCACTGGTCTTAAAAGCAAGCCACTAATTTCACTCTAGCTTTTATAATTTTTTACTCTCTCGTTTTTGATGTATTCCATTACCATAATGCTTGAATATATTTGAATGTTTAATTAGCATTTAGCTGTCATACAAATTGATCGATCAAAATAAAAAGGTTGCATGAAGCTTGCATGAAGCTTCTTTATTTGTAAAAGATATTCTAGCTTTGATACAACAAAGAAACACGTTGACTTTTGCTGCTCTGAGCAAAACACCCTTCATAGGTAAAAGTCTTAAGGCACAGAAGGTTATTAAGGATCTTTATCTTGTCCTTGATAGGTCGTTTGTATGGCAGCTATATGCTAGTGATGATCTGAACAATTTCTTCGGAGATTGCACCATTACCTTAGACAATAATTTATGCCAATGACGTAAAGACAATTTCTCAAATACAAAAGTTTTTTATACGAAAACTGGTTTTATAGGTCAGTATATATATCGTATGTCGGTTCCGACATAGAAGCAGCTTCTTACGGAGAAAAAGACATGTGCATAATTTTAGATCGATATCTCAAAAGGGGAGGGATTAGTTCGAGTATATACAGACGGACCTGGCTAAATTCAATCAGCTCATCACACTGCTCACATATATATATATATATATGTTACAAATTTTATAGTTCAGGGTATATATAATATATACACATACGGTTTTTACATATTTTATAAAATACATGACGGCTGATGTTAAGTCCCATATTAGTATTAAAGTTTTAAGTGAAAAAAATAATATTAAGTGATTTGACTAAGTTTAAAATCTAGGTATTACTAATAGCACTAGATTTCCTGGCAGGCAGGCATAGAAATAACGTATGTGGAAATACAAACCTACATTTAAATATTATTCATGTCAGTTTGACTAATGATGACGTCAGCATTTACGTTTTTCAGTTTGTGAACGCAAATTGAGAAACTGTGCCTCAGCTGTTTATACCCAACACATGCATATTTTTGCAACACATTATATTAAAAAAACAATTCACGGTTGTCACGAGTTGAAAAAATTAGAACTCACCAAAAAAAAAAAAATTTAAAATCATAACTAAATTTTTATACACTCGTTTTTATATAGTAAAAATAATAATACTTTAAATCGTTTTGAAACCATTTTAAAACTATGGAGGAACAAACAACTTACAGACACTTTAACAAACAAGAGCGTTTTACTAGATAAAAAGTTGCCACCTACCCAAAATTTAAGTCTCATAATACAATCAATTAAAGTATTCTACTTTTCAATGTATAGAAACCATGTGATAGAAATATATGTTTTCTACTTATTTTTAATATTATTTTTATTTAAATGATTTCATATTTTCGCCAGTCTCTACTTGTCGAGTGAAAGTTTTCAGGAGCTCATAAACTCAAATTTGAATCTGACGTGTTGTAGCCACAATATACTCTAATCATTAGTTTCAGTCGTAACATAAAAAAGCAATATATTGTTTGATTTTCATCGAACCGTAATTTTTACAGTTGTAAAATCCAATCAAGCGGTCTTTTATACAATCGTTTATTAAATAATACAATAACACTTGAACTACACAACACGAACATCATTTTAAATATTAGATTTTGCAAATAAGGCATATTTAGTTAGACAACTGTCAAACTTTAACGTCGCAGTTTTAAAAACTTTGACAACTTCATATAAACCACCCAGCGTATTTCAGATAAAGAATGCATGCAATCCTATAGGGAAAGGATCTATCTATTCCAAAGGTGTGAGAACTGCGAAAAATTCGGTTTTTGGATCTCGTGCATTGAGTTTAAAAAATATTAAATTGAAAGCCCAAATTTATATAAGAAGACGTCTAGTGTTGCCAAAAAGACGCTATAACTGGCAATATTATTCAATTTCACCTCGTACGAGTGCACCGAGGAATTTTAAATTTCTTACGCTCGTGTGTGGAAATGATGAATGATGCTGGTGATATTGAAAAATATGAGCGCGAATATGAAGCTAATAATGATTACAAATGATGGCGTCGCCGTTTTTATGTCTTATTCAAATCAGAGGTGTTGACATTGAAGTACATTTCGCCAGCTGTTTGTCTTCCACACACTTTTTGCTTACGTAGGTAAAGGCGAGTTGTTGCTTTTTGAGATTTTTGGCTTTTGAAGTGCACCCACACAAAGTACAAAACCTCCAACCTGCCCTCCGTGTGCGCACGTGTGCGTGTGAGGGAATAAGAAATGGCCGGTAAGTGAGAAGTCGCCATTTGTAACGAAATTCCTAAGCAAATACGTAAGAGGTTTTTCGGTTTTTCAAATGACGCCGTCCATGTTAGGCACTGCGAAATAGCGGTCGCGGATGGCTCAAGGTGTTGCCAGCGAACCAAAAGCGGCGGACAAAGGAATGCTCGGCGTCGCGATGGGATGGCAACATTGCAAATGCAAAAGTTTATTAAATTTTTCGGTTTTTGTATTTTGTTTTTTATGTTGTTTTTTGATTGTTTTTGACAAGCACGAAACGCTTCGCATATTTCATTTTGCTCCCTATGCGCCGTTACGGCTGCTACTTTCTACTGCTATCGCTCTTGCGTTTAGTACATTTCGGTTTCTAAATTCGATTTGTTTTCTTATTTTGAACTGTTTTATTTTTGTACGCCGCTATTGTTCATTTATTTTTATATTCTGCGCGTTCTGTCATTGTGCTGCATGCATGCACACACACACATACAGGCATAGAAACTCATGCTCGTGTGTCCGTGTGTAGGTAGTAAGTTGGTAAAATAGCGGTACTGCAGATTACCAAATAAATAAAATCAAAAACTGTGCACGTTTGTCAACTTTAGAAGAATGAGGCGAAAAGTTTCTGCAGACATTTGCCACTTGTGCCACAAACTGCTGTTTTCCTCGCTCGTAACTATTGCGAAAATTGGGCATAAACACATGCACTTACATGCGCACACTTCTTATAAGTTTATATTATATTTTAAAAACAACTTAGCATCTGTTATATATTTAAATACATATGTGTTTAAGTGTGTGTGTGTGTGTGCAGATGAATTATTGCAAATCTTCGCCGAAGTACAGTGAGCAAAATATTTCCTATGAGTAGACAGGTCGGACTAGTGGTGGATTGTCAACAAAAACAAATGAACGAGAAAAAAATGTGTTAAACTATTATTGCTTCAAAATAAATCCGTGAAATCAACCAATTTGAATGTAGACTCGTAGCAGAACAGTGTGCTACACTTTGGATATCTAACAAAAACAACTTAAGTTTGAAATACTCATTGGCACAGCCCCCGGTACATTAACTGAAAGATATTCGGCACGTAGCACCCGAAAATTCAGTGGAACCACCTTACTTTGTTCTCTCTCCTACCAGCTCTATAAAGATAAGATTTTTGCTCACATTACTGTAGATGTTTGGAGAGAGGGATTCTGCAATATTCAATGTCGAGGGACCACTGCTATAAAAGCACCTTTTCTCGATGTTGGTTGAAAACTTTGATCAATTCACTTGTTGCGTATCGGAACTGAACAACTCCAACGACTATACCATGTTGGTCGCAATCGATAACGCTAATTTGAGAGTAGCAGCAAGTTTAAGAGCAAGGACATACCATCGAACTGCATCGAAAATCTAAAGAGGTGCAGACAAAATCTATGAGATTGAAGTTTCAGGTCCAGGTTTCAAGTAGAGCCAGGAAGTAAGGTTGGATTATAGTTCAAACAGTCACCGACGCAGAACCGTGGACCGAATCAACTGATACGACCTATCTTATGAGAGCGCAATGCAAATGATTACTCGCCACCGCTTCTACAGACCGTACGGTAGGATATCTGCGAAATTTGGATTTTTCCCGTAGAAACAAGTGAGCTCAGAGTGAGAGAGCAATCTCTTGGAACGTATGGTTACCACTCTCGGTATTTTGTACCAGTCTCGAGTTTTTTAGTCGATGTATTCGTGTATAAATAGTTAGACTATTTTCAATGGTTTGCTTTTAGTTTTGAGCTTTTACATTATGAAAAATTATAACTAAAATACTAAATGTGTGCAAATCACGTATACAGATTGAGCAATGGCAACATTGGTGAAATAACAAATGAGAACAACTGAATTCTATGTTGCCACTACGGGCAAAACTTTTGACACATTTGGTTTGATACGGGCGGTTAGTACGGAAGGACAGAACATCGGTGACTGTTTCCAGCATCATTAAAAACTACATTTTCAATGCATGAGCAAATCTGGTCCATGCCATGATTATAAAACCGAATCGGTCTGTACCTTGCATTATTTCAATATTCATAAAGCCATTTTGCAAGATATTTCGATCTTAAATAGTAAGATCAGTGTTTAATCCAAAGGAGTACATTTGTACATGAAAACTATGCTTGGTTTAGAAACTGTTTTATTTTCATCATATCTATA